GGAGAGAGAGAGAGAGAGCGTGTTATCTAGGCCAGCACACTCAAAACCTCGGTCACGATGACTTGTGGCTTCGTGCTAGCACACCCATCGACGGTTTCCATCAATTTAACTCACAAGTCTTGGGTTAACCAGTAGTATGGTTTTCAGGCACTTTCTAATATATATATATATATATATATATATATATATATATATATATATATATATGTGTGTGTGTGTGTGTGTGTGTGTGTTTCAGACAGTGCTGTTTCGATGTATCACAGCTCCTCAGCGCGACTAGACAACCGAATGCCCGGATCGAAACCAAACCGATTTGGTGTCAGTCAGAGCTTCTACCATTGAGTCAACTTCACTCGGCAGAATGAGTAAGCCAAATCTAGCGTATTGTGTTTACAAACGTAAACAAACACCAAGCACCCATAGTGCTCCATTCATTTTACTGAAGAGCTTCGCATTTACGGCCGTAGTTTTTAGAACTAGTTTGTCATTCAACAGTGCTCAATTGAAAATGTATTTTCAAGAGCTACATCATACTTATTATAAAACCCAGGTTGTGTGTGTGTGTGTGTGTGTGTCTGTTCGTTTATATATTGGATCGGATTTCCATTTTTTTCAACCGATTTCAACAAAACTTCACAGGACTACGTAAAATTACCTTGCGGTGGTTCTGACAGCGCCAAAAATTGGAAAAACAATTCTTTTTGCACAAAATCAATTTGAAAACACGATAAGATGCATCGCTGTCGTGAGAATGAAAGGGGGACAACTCATATCGAGTTATACTTATTTTAAACCCAGGTTGTGTGTGTGTGTGTGTGTGTGTGTGTGTGTGTGTGTGTTCGTTTATATATGGGATCGTATTTCCTACATTTTTCAACCGATTTCAACAAAACTTCACTTTTTTTTTTGGCAGGTAGTGTTTCTTATTGTCTTGCACATTTTTTTTCTTTATTTTTACATTCAGAATGCTTTAAAAATTCCATTTACAAGACAATTGTTTATAATAAAATTCTATTCAATCGGTAGACTCATAACGATTGAAAACAATGTTTTTTTTTACCAATTCGTAAAAAAAACAACACAAAACTAACAAACAAGAACTAAGACATGCGTGTCCGTCAACCTTAAACAATAATCTTTGTCAATTTTATTTTTCAGTCTTTATGATGGTCGATACTTGATCTATTTCTTACTGTTACATCCCCGGGCAACACCGGGCTCTACTGTTAGTAATGAATAGGTTTTTAAACATTAAAGTATATTTAATCACATCAACTGTCGTGATCTGTTACAGGATTGACTCACTCTTGGAAATTATACTCGGCGCTTTGGTGACCACAA